TATAATTAATATATAATATACATTTTTATTTTTTATTTAACATATTTTAATTCTTCATACTTTTAATACATATATTGTTTTTATTATTTGATATAATTGATTATTTCTATTTTATGAATTGTATAATTATCCTAACATTTACAGAAAAAAGCAATATTCAGAAAGCGTCTAATAATTATTCTGAGCATAATGATAATATCATTTTATTATTATTTACAGCAAGTCTATCACGCGCATTTCATCCCCCAGCAGCCCGCCATTCCGCCTCCACATCCGGGTCCCCTGCATATCAAGGGAAACGACCACGTCAATAGATTACATTATGATGGTCCTCATGTATCACATCCACATCTCGTTGGCGTTGAGCATTACGCCCCCGCTCCGGAACCTGAAATCTCCATCATAAAGACTAAACACGGCTGGGATTAAGGATCCTGTATGACGATGCCTCTTAATTAAACCCATTGATCTAGAGTGGTCTATACTGGAATGGCACTCATCTCGAATCTTATTGATCAAAATAATGACAGCAGACAACTTCGTCGACGATATATATATATATTTGATTTTTCGCAAATCCAAATAATTTCAATTGAAGACAAATCAAATTTTGAAACCTTTAGAAGAAACGAAAAATCATGGACCACTCACGGATCGCAGACCAGGCAGCCAAACTTAAGAATAAAACAAATCCGTCTTGATTTTACCTTTAGAACTACATATGACATGCCTTACACAAATATACATGGACACGAATATCCGCATCTTTTTCTGTTCCTTCATCTTTCCCAACACCGAAATTCTCGTGCGGCAATTGTGGTATTGAAGAAGACATCATAACATCAAAGAGAGCGTTTTCCCTTTCCCCCTCATTTCTCGGATCCCGTCCTATTTTTCTTCACCGCACCAACACTTTTATTTATTTTCTAATAAAAGTTAATGTGTACGTCTTGTGATAAAACAGAAATTACGTTGTCGTTTATTCATGACCCAGATCCATTCTTTTTTGTTACAGTCTAACTTCGTTTTATTCTTATGCTTATTTTTATTAAGTTTTTTTTTCTTTTTTTTCATTTCTTTTTTTTCTACTCTCGAAAAGAGTGATAACGATTAGTTACGATAAGTCGGAAGAAATAAATTCCAATATGATTACGTGTAAAGTATATGTAAGAACATAAATTGTGTAACATATTATTAAATGAGTACATGTTACACCGTTCTACAATTTTCATCTCAGCTTTTTTCAAGCTACATTATCAAGTCTCCACAAGATCAGTCAAGTGTAACAAGATACAGGCACTTGTTTACAAGTTAATATATTGTACGAGGTTGCATTTAAAGTTTATGAAAGTTTGCCTGTACTGCTTATAAACTAGGCCACTTTGCAAACAGGATTAATTATTATTTAATTAAAATTAAATTATTAGTTAAAAATTTTTGCTATATAGCAAAGAATTCGTTTTAATGATATAAAATAATTATTATATTTAGTAGCTGTTATAATAAAATAAGTTAATTTAATATTAATTTCAATACATCTCGACGCGTAAATTTTGTTATAATAAATGTAAGAAAATAATAACAATTTTATGTTGCAAGAAGAATGCGCTAATAATAGAAGCTTATCTGTAGCTAAAAGAATGCAATATATAATTTTTTATTTTTCATTTTAAATTTATTCTTGACTTTTGCATTTAATAAATTATTAATTGTGTATGCATATATATTGTATAAATGTTGCTTAAATAGAACTAGATAATTAAAAAATGAAACTTAATTACAATTAAAGCATTACAATTGTTAAATCATTATAATTGTTAAGCATTACAATTGGTTAAAGCATTACAATTAAAAAATATTGCTGAGAAATAATGAAACTTATGTGTCTTATATAATATTTATACATATATTAGATGTGAGAAAAAGTTCGTGACGTTTTTCCCATTAAAAAGCATTTAAAAAACGCTACGAACTTTTTCCCACTCCTAATATGTTTTAAAATTTATGTTCTCTGTAATCATATAATAAAACCTATAATAAACAAAATAATAATACAAATTAATTTTCTTCTTAGAAAATTTTGATAAATTGCATAAAGGATAAATAAATTTTCTAATTAAAATTAGACAAAAATTAATGTAGAGCTAATGCAGAAATAATTTGAAAATTAAGTTTTATATATATATATACACACAAATAAGTTCATCCCAATCAGTCTAAATCAATTCTTCTACGGGAATCTTATGAGAAACACCGTAATTCCTTAAAGAAAAAAATCTTAGCGATTGCGTGAATTATTCGATCTAATCATTGTAATTTATCATCGCGATCTAACACGCCATTCTTTATTCAAGTAAAGCATATTTTATCTAACATTCACATTTACATATACACACCCACTTACCGATTATTGTGTAAGATTAATGATAATCGTCTATTTGATGGTCCACATCATGATCTTCTGCATCAGTATCTTTAAGGGTGACACCATCATTGATATCGAAAATATTGGAAGCGTGACAAGGTGTGACGTCGCGGTTGGGCGGGCACCTAACAAGGGGGCCCGAAAGGGTGTCGGTCGCATGGTTAGTGAAAGGGGTCTGTGCGACGTGCCCCCGCCTAATGCCCTGAGAGTAGGCCTGGACTTGGGCAGGGACCTGCTATAAAAGCATACCGCGTCGCCCCTTAGACATAGTGCTTGCTCGTATAACGCAAGAAAAACCATCGCTCGCCACCATGAAGTTCTTCGTAAGTTTTTCCCTTCACTTGCAACGACTTCGTCGCGTTGATTATCTTCAGCTTATATGCTTTTATCTGTATATAGAATTATGTTATATTTATGTAAAGAAAAATATTAAATCTTGTGTATACTTAATTATTTAACTAATTTTATCTTATTTAATGTAGCGTGTTAAAATTGTATATCTTTTATTTGACATATTTTATTTTACTTGTATTTCTTCTGAGTTTTTATTTGTCTGGTGTTTATTTATATTATTCTTTCTTTTTATTTATTTATTTATTTATTGTCATATTATTTTAGGTAGAGTTAATTTTTTAAATTAGAACTTGTTTAAAGTTTTGTATTATGTTTTATTATTATATTAAACATTGTGTGTTCTCTTGTTACAGATTGTTCTGTTCGCCATTGTGGCGGTTGCCAGTGCTGTAAGTATTTTATAATTATTATTTTAAAAAGTTTAGTTCTAACAATATTCCATACTTTTCTCTTTATCTGGATATTATTATTTTATCGAATTCTAAGTTAATACGCCGTTTATTACATACTATCAAGAAATGATCTATTATAGAGAATGTATAATTTTATATTATAATTATCTAGCAAACAATTACATAATATAACTATTTTCTAACAAAATATTAAAATATTAAAAATTAATATGAAATTAATAGAAATGTTTTAAGATAATTAAACGTAAAGCAACAGCTGAAGAATATCAGTATCTATATAATCCTAGACTTATCATTAAATTTTCTGCTTAATTAAATCTATTATCTCCATGTCGAAACCCAGCCGCAATTGTATCAAATTGATCACGCTCGTTTGTGCAATTTCCGTCCCGAAGTTCCTATTATCCAAGCTATAATACTCTCTTGCATTCACTCGCAATTTCATAATGGGAGACTATGTTTCCTGGAAATTTTTTGAGATTATTAGATTTTCTGATCGCTTCAATTACGTAATAGCATGGATAAGTGAGAGTAGTTTTAGTGATTAATAAAACATCTTGTCTTCTTTTATATTTAGGGCCATTATGCGGAGCACATCCATGTCAATGGGCAACCCGCCATTCCGGCCCCCAAAACTCTCCCGCTCGCCCTCCACGGTAACGACCACACCACCCGCCTTCACTACTCTGGAACTCATATAGGGCACCCGCACTTGGTGGGAGTCGATCATTACATCCCGGCGCCGCATTACGAGCCCCAGATCGCCAACGTGGCCGTCCACGGCCACGGACACGGCTGGCATTAGATCCCATCACCTGAGCCAGCAGACTCGCTGGTCTGGAGTGGTCCACGACGAACGCGTCATCCTGAGGCTGACATGAGGCAGCAAATCAGCAATCACCACGATTGGTGAACGAAACAACGAATGAAGTCTTTGTCGAGAGTTCCTTCTTTTGTCTCTTCGGCAAGACGTTTTAATTCTGCGAGATCGCTCGCTGAGGATTGTGGATGTCCGGCCTCAATGGCGAGGCTCGAGGATCTCCGGTCCGAGGGTCGAGGATCACGGAGGAATACCGTTGCGAAATTGAAATATATTGGCAGATCGAAATGGAATTCGACTGTCTCAGGATAGCTGCCATGACTTGGGCCACTCCCAAAGACCGTTCCCAGAAAGACCAGGCAATCAAACTTGAAAAAAGCCCCCCTCCCTCGCCACTCTCCCATCTTCTTTTCGTTTTGAAACCTTGACGCTACATATGACACGCATCGTATGAACATTGATGAACAATTAGGTCCTTTCGTCTATTTCCATTTTCCATCTCATTTCGTCAACGTCAAAATTCTGTGCGGCATACTAAAGAAGAGACCATAACATCACAATGCGGCCATTTCTTCCTGTCCCCATTATTCGTCTTCCGGCAGCAACATTTTTATTTATTTTATAAATAAAAAGTCGATTTTTACGTCTTGTGATAAAATGCGTCGTTTGTTTTTTATTCGATTTCACCCCAAATACATATCTCTCGTATATTGCAAAATATCGCGTTACGTCATGAAAGTTATTCAACTAGAAAACATATATAAGATTAGATTAGAAAAAACAAAATGCCATAATGATAAAAAAGCAAATAATTTTAATACGAGAGCTAGATTAATCAAAGTAGAAAAAGATATTAAAAGTAAAACTGTATTAATTTAAATAAAACGAGAACAAATTCGCAGTTTGTTTGATATTTATTGAGGATTATTGGATTGGAAACTCATTGAGAACTGCTAATGCAATATGTATTAAGCAAATCATGCAAAACAACTCAATAGCGAGCTTGTGAACTCTCAGTAACGGTCAAATAATATGTCAATTTCGCGTAGTTAACTCATTAATGTTGCTACTTAACTGTATTTCATGGTTTCGACTACGTAATTCGATTGCACAAACTGATACTGGATTAACAAAATGCACTTTGTCGAGTAAACTGATCGTAATATTTATTCAATGAATACGAATGGCTTTAATATTCTTGTCTTATTCATTCAAATGTATAGCTTTAAGGATATCTTCTTTATGAAAAGAAATTATTTTTATTTAAAAAGTTTACAACTTCTTTACATCATCCTTTCGGAATTGCATATCCGTCAGACTGCAATATCTATTTCACGGGAAAGGTTCTTCTGGAAACTTTATGTAAACAGCCCGACTGCGAATCAATCTAACGTCGCCGAGCAACGGATAATCCAAACAGAGTCACCCTAAAGCTGGTTGCTATTCTTTTCGTCGCGCGACTGGTATCGTGCATTCGATGCCGCGATGCGAATCGCGTATATTTTCTCACATAAATAATTGAATTGATTATAAAATAAATCTACTGCAATTACGTTCTATCGTCGTTTCGCATCAGTCGACAGGGGAGACGTTCGTTCACGAGGATAGAAATGCATCAACGGTATCACGGATGACGACTGTCATCAATGTGCGATTCGGTACGAGCTCGCTACATCGAAATAGTTCAACAAGATTTTCGCATGTGGTCCCTCAACTTTTTAGCTATGTTAAAATTTAGATACTTTAAAATTTCTTATATCTTTAGTTGTATTGCACGGACTTTTAATGAATTCTCTTTGACACCAAATGCTATGTTATAAAAATTTTTGACCTTTACTATTAAATGTGTTTCTTTTTCAAAATGATTAAAGCCTTGCAATACATTTGTCGATGTTATAATTTCATGTGTTATAATCATCGATAATTGAAATAATATTTTAAATTTGAAATAATTAATTTTAATTTGAAATAATTAATTATTTCATTGAAATAATTAATTTTAATTTGAAATAATTAATTATTTCATTGAAATAATTAATTTAAAATGTTTTATGATTATATGTCCAAAATTTTTGCGGACTTTGTTCAGATTTTTAAAATTATACTGTTCTAAAGTATAACGAAGCATTTAAGCTATTCTAAAGTATAACAATGCAAGTATAACAATTAAAGATTACACTTTATTTTTATTAATATAATAATTAGTATCTTTATATTTTTTATCTATTATTATTATTATCTATTTTAATAATTAACGTTTCAAAGTTATATTTTTTCTTTCTGCAATATTTAAATTTTAATTGTCTAATTATCTTATCATTATTTTTAAATTATTAATAAAAATCTTTATTTTTTTAATACTTTTTAAAATACTTTTGTTATACTAAATTATATTGTTTGTAATATTATTTTTTTTATTATAAATCCTGTTTTTGTCTAGATTTATTTATTATGAATTACTTTGAGGTTTCGTTAAAAGATCGATGCCAAAAAGAATTCGATTTATTAATCTCGTTAAGTTCTCTTAGACTTGCTTGCGGTCACACCGCGTGATTTCAGCACCACGTCGGTGCTTTTCTATGAGAGGTTTACGAGTGTCTTTACTATTCGTTTGATCATTCGGAAAACATTCTGGCTGCAGTTTGCTTCGAGCAACGATTACGTAACAGGAAAGAAAGAATTATGCATTATACCTCGGCGAAACTGTTCTGCGGAAAAGGGACACGATATCCGACTGCACGATCGTTCCACTGAATGTATGTTCTTATTTACACGATAATCGTTTTGCTTTATTTCTACCCAATTCGCGAATATTATGCAATGATTTCAGCATCATGTTAGCGCATGCTAGCGTTACGTTCTTATAAACTCTTATAAGGATTCTCGTATGCTTTCGAGAGAAAGCAAAATTTAGTTGCGCTTTGTACACACATTTATTAAACACAGATTTTTTATTTAAACAATTTATTTAAATTATATCAAATTGGAAAAATTGTAATATTAAATCAAATTTATTGAATACTACTTAAATTTATTGAATTTAATTAATGAAATTTAATTAATTAAAAAAATAAACTTAAGAAAACGACTCTAATATTTTTCCAGTGATTTAATTAATTTTGAAGCCTAAAGCTAATTTTTAAAGAAAGAAAGCTAATTTTTTTTTTCTAGAATTGATTCTTTTAATTTAAAGTTCAAAATATGAATTGGAAAACTATTCTTTAATAACTGATGTGAGTCAGATATATATTCTATTAATGCAAAATTAAAGTAGATATGACGATATCCTATTGAAAATTCTTACGTTCTCCAATTAATTTTCTGAAATGGCATGAGCGAATCATTTACATCAAAGTGAACGTTACTGCGGAATGTCGGAGAGTCCACGTTGCTCACCTACCTATAATTATACTGTACGTCGCTTAGAGATTTTCAATTTTTCTATTTGAAGCACTGAAACTCGAGAATGTAGAATGATCCAATCTATACAGAATACCAATCAATCTATACAGAATAACGTATAGAAACGGATGTTTTCTTCATAAAACATTGCTGCGAACTCAATTCGCAGCGGTGCGTAGCCGACTGGCAAATATACAGTTATGACTGCTACAGCAATCAGGTGCATTGCGAATTATTGCTTGTGACAAGCTTTTTCTGCATATGAATATTCGTTTCCTCGCGTTGCAATAACAGCGTAAAAAGAGAATCGTTATGGCCCCAAAATGCGATCACGCGAGATATATTATTTATTATGATCACGAAGTCGTTTATTTGCGCAATTTGCTTTTTTTTTATTAATCTTCTGTCTCTTTATTAAACTGACCTTTTCTTAATAATTTCCTAATTAATTTTATTTAATTTTTATTCACCTGCAATATCTTCAAATTATTTTATTCAAATTTTAGTAAATTTTCTTAACGTTAACTTTTTATTTTACTAATTTTTTTCTAAAATATATTATTTTTATATTTATTAAGTTTATTTTAATTCTAATAATTTTCGTTTACTAGAATGGAATATTTCATTCTTTTTCGAGGTGATAAAAAGAGAAAGTAACAAAAACAAGATAATATCTCTACATTATTAGATGATCATGTAAATTAATTCATGTTATACGTATCTTAATATTAGACGAATAACTACGAAATGCGTTTTACGCATTCGAAAGTTGATAGAAAATGTTGCATATCGTTGATTTAAATCGAGCCCCCAAGTTAATGAACACGCCCCCAAGTCGAGTAATAATCATTCGAGCGTAGAGACTAGTAAGTAAGCATGATACCAGTACCAATATAATAATTTACATGCACAGGCATTTAATTAGGTTCCCAGTCGCCTAGTCTGCCAGTAGCACATATTTCACGACGATAAATCTTGATTACTATCCCGACAAATATATTCCTCGATCAACTGGAGGAACTATTAATGCTCGAGTTTCAATTGCAGTTAGATATGGATCTATTTGAATTTATATGGCAATCGGGAGATGCATTCGGTACGCAATTTTATCTTGACAGATTACACTATGATATGTATTGAATTTATAGCAAGTGGAAAGTCATAACTTGCTTGAGAAGGATGAATGAAAACTTGAAATGTATCTTCAATTATCAAAATTCAAAAATTGGAAGCTTATTTGACTTTCACTGATTTTTTTTATTTTTCTTCTTTTTTAATTTTAAATCTTTTTTTTTAAATTATTAATTGTAATTTAATTAGAAGAATTTTTTTGTGTCTTTCGAATTATTTTCTTTTGAGGATAAGAAATATTTGTGATGTCACGAAGAATTGTCGGTTTTCTTAATCGATTTATCTTTGTGAGGATGTAATCGATTGTCATACTCGTGTCTTCATCGTCTCGAAATCATAATAATTCTAGACGAGCAGCAGGCATCATTCGAAATAAATTTCCTTTCTATTGACCATTTACCGAGGAACTGGAGCAACTTCCCCGATAACGGGAGCACAAATACGCGATCGCATGCTATCTATCCGATAGAGCGATTGCATGAATAATGAAATGCAGTGTGTGGTGCATTACGTAGCACGCGTTGTTGCATACTTTCTCTCTTCGTAATGAATGTTTTTCCGCGATAAAACGTGTTTCCTCGGACGCCGCTCGTTGCACGTGCGTTATAAGCTTGACACGTCCTGTCCTTTTGATATTCAATATATCTTAACTATAATATCAAGATGACAGCTTTTTATAACAATGGTCAATTATATAAGTGGTTTTAATTATCTATTAATCCTTTTAATCTATTAATGTATAGTTCTATTTCCATTTAATCGTTAGCTTTCTAATTAATAATTTTCTAATTGTAATTGATAAAATAATAATATTCTACACAATTAATATAATTATACATAACATTTTTTATCCATTTTATTTTATAAAAAGATAATCCTTTTATTAGATTCGTTTTATCATTTTGTCATTTATACAAAAATCACTAAAATTATATAAATTATATAAATTATAAAATTATAAAAAATTTAATTGTGAATTAAAGGGAATATAAAATAATAGGGAATATAAAAAATTATATATATGGAATTATATATATGAATAGGGAAGTATAATAATATGATATTGTTTATTAATTTTATTTCAATAGAAATAGCATTTTTTAGATAATTATAATAAAAA